CACAGCGCGCTGGCCACGGTGGCCATTGGATGGTGAACCAATGGCAAAAGGAAGACCTTTCTCTCTGTCTCTCTCTCACTGTCCACTCTGCCTGTCAAAAAAAAAAAAAAAAAAAAGGCAGTCTGGGCAGCTGAGTCCGTATCTGAAAGACCTGTCCTGGGCCAAGTGCTGTGGAGGAATGTGGTCAAAGGGGTGCAGAGCTGGGGAGGAGAGACCAGAATTGGGGGTGGACAGAATCCACCAGGCCTGCACCACATTCTGGCCCTTCTATACCAAGCTGTGGGACTCTAGATAAGTTTCAAGTTCAGTCTGATTTTTCATTCCTGCATCTGTGAAGTGGGCATGGCTGAGATGCAGCCTGTAGGTTGCTCTGGGCATAGGACAGAGTCTGCTACGTGGCACGTGTGTTTCCATTTAGAATGGGTCTGGATAGGCTGAGGACTCCCACCCAGGGCTGGGTGTTGGATGGAGAGAACCATGGGGCTAGAGAAGGGAAAGGGTGCTTGGCAGCAGGGAAGTTGCTGAGCCTTCCCAGGGAGAGGAGCCATGTGGAGCAAAGGCGGAGGCTGGGCCAGAGGAAGTTTCTTACTGCTAGAGAGCTCGTGAGGATCTCAAGTGGGAGTGAGAGTTGGCCCTGGGGAGCTTCCCAGAAACACATGCCAAGGCTCAGAAGGGCAGGGCCTGCGTGATGCCTGGGAAGCCCCTTGGAGAGGAAGGATCAGGAGGCAGGCCTGGGGTCCAGGGCCAAACTCCCTGTCCCTACTGGGGGCCCCATCCAGTGGGCTGGGTTTAGGCCTGGGGCTCTGCCCATGCACCTGGCCTGGCCAGATGAGCTAGAGGAAGAAGTCTCCTGGCCTGAGAAGGGCTCTCAGCTAGCTGCAGTAACTGCATGGATAAAAAGACAGGTTGGTTTGGCAGCTGCCTTGCCAGACAGTTTGACCCAGAATGCCATATTCCAGCCCTGGCTCCCAGCCACTGTCCGCTCTGCAGCTTCCCCAGTGCAGATTTCAGCATTTGTTGGGCGTTGGTCAGATCCCTTAGCTCAGTTTTTTCTTAAGTGTCACAGAATTTATTGATAACTGCCGTGTGTAAAATTAGAGTATGAACATGACTTGATAAATTAAATAGGCTTCATTTCAATACTGTAATAAGAAGAGCCAATTTATATTCTCACCATTTGTTTTACACCAAAAAATTTGTACAGAATTAACAGTGTCTCAAAATTTAGTCAGTTTTGTGCAAGTAAACCACATTTTTAAAAAAAGATTTATTTATTTGAAAGGCAGAGTTACAGAGAGGCAGGGGCAGAGGCAGTCTTCCATCCGCTGGCTCACTCCCCAAAAGGCCACAGTGACTGGAGTTGGGTCGATCCAAAGCCAGAAGCCAGGAGTTTCTTTTGGGTCTCCCATGCAGGTGCAGGGCAAGGACTTGGGCCATCTGCTACTGCTTTCCCAGGCTGCATCAGAAGTGGAGCAGTTGGAACTCAAACTGGTGCCCATTTGTGATGCCAGCACTGCAGGTGGCAGCTTTATCCACTACACCACAGTGCCACTCCCCACATTTTTTTAAAAATACTTATTTTATTCATTTGAGAGACAGAGTTACAGAGAGAGGTAGAGATAGAGAGTGAGATCTTCCATCTGCTGGTTCAGTTCCCAAATGACCACTCTGAAGTCACAAGCCAGGAGCTTCTTCTGGGTCTCCCATGTGGGTGCAGGGGCCCAAGCACCTGGGCCATCTTCTGCTGCTTTCCCAGGCCATAGCAGAGAACTGGATTGGAAGTGGAACAGCTGGGACTTCTACAGGCCCTGATATATTTTTTCTTAAACTGGGAATTTCTGGTCCCCTCTTTTTTTTTTTTTTTTTATTTTTATTTATTTGAAAGAGAGAAAGAGAAAGATCTTCCATCCACTGGTTCACTCCCCCAAATGGCCATAACAGCCAGGGCTGAGCAAGGCCAAAGCAAGGAGCCAGGAGCTTCCTCTGGGTCTCCTACATGGGTGCAGGTGCCCAAGCACTTGGGCCATCCTCTGCTTCTTTTCCAGGCAAATCAGCAGGGAGCTGGATGAGAATTGGAGCAGTGGGATTTGAACCTGCACCCATAAGTTGCCAGCAGAAACTTAACCCCTTATGCCACAATGCTAACCCCTAAACCACATTTCTTCTTAAAAATTTTATGAACTTAAGGCCGGCACTGTGGCATAGTGGGCTAAGCCTCTGCCTACAGCACCAGCATCCGATATGGGCACCAGTTTGGATCCTGGCTGCTTCTCTTCTAATCCAGCTCTCTGCTTATGGTCTGGCAAAGCAGTGGAAGATTGCACAAGTGCTTGGGTCCCTGCACCTAAATGGGAGACCCAGAGGAAGCTCCTGGCTTCAGATCAGCCCAGCTCTGGCCATTGCGACCATTTGGGGAGTGAGCCAGCAGATGGAAGATCTTTCTCTCTGTCTATAATTCTACCTCTCAAATAAATAAATCTTCAAAAATTGTGCACTTGCCCAAACTTAAAGATATTAAAATCTAGCACTTGAAGCCTGTTTCTAGAGGTGGAAATAAAGGCAATACAGAACAACCATCAATTACGCTTAATAATTTTTCTGTAACAACCAAGTAAGCAAATACTGCAACAAGCTAAATATACTAAGCAGAGCACCTTTATTCCAGCAGTAGTTGGGCTTGGCCAGACTAGGGTGAGGATGGGGAAGAACAGAGCCTGGTCAGGGCCTCTTGTATACAGCCTGGGGTAAAAACGTAGCAGAGTGTGCACATCTCCCAGGCAAAGAGGCAGTGGGGTCTAAGGGGCAGAACAGGAAGTGTCCCACCTTTCCCTCTTTCCTGTCCTCTTCTGAGTGATGACAGAAGACTAGGCATTAATGGCAGAGTGATGGTAAAGGTAGCAGACTTCTGCAGACTTCAGGAAGTTGCAGTCTACTCCATGATTGCCTAAGAGACACAGAGGACACGAGCCCTGGCTTGCCAGGAGGCACAGGTGGAAGGTGTCTTCTCCAGCAGTTAGCACATCCTTCTCTCCATACCCTCCCATACCTCTCTTCTGTCTCTCTCTTAGCACTCCTGAATCCAGGCCAGGAGCATTCTTCTCCCCTGGGGTATAGCAGGAGGAGCATTACAAGAGGCTCCTAAGCCTGGAGAGGGGGCTGCATGCCCCCACTCTCTCTCTTTGAGCATCTCATAGTGGCATGGTCCTCTGTGCTTCAAGGACACAGGGGAGGCCTTGATCAGGAGGGCATGGGCAAGTGCTCACAAATACAGGCCTTCCTGTCCCCCCGCCCCCGGGCCAGCCTCCCCAGAGGCAGAGAAGCTTGCTGTCCACGAGCAGCAGAAGCCAGCTTTGGCTGGTGGAGGGGCATGCACACACACAGGAGTCCCTTCTTGGCCACTGTCCTTGGTACTGCCGTCGTCACAGCTGTAGCGCCCCACCCCCTTCCTCCCACCCCATGTCCTGGGGAAAACTCTCCTGCCGTCCTTTATTCATCAGGTTCCACTGAGCATGGACATACCGGAGCGTGCTCTGTTCTTGGCCCAGCATACCACAGGGACCTCGACAGAGTCCCTGTGCTGGGCAAGCTTAGGTGGCCTACAATAGGTGGGAAAAGTCCTACAAAGAAAAGTGCCACAAGTATGGTGGGGCTGCAGGAGAGGCCTCTGGAGGGGCAACATTTAGGGAGCAATCTAAAGGGAGGGATAGTGACAACCACCAAGCAAGGGGTCAAGGAAGGGCCCCGAGGTGAAGATGAATGAGCATGGAGAGTTTGTGGGGAGGGTGGTGAAGGTGTGGCAGGAACAGAAAGGCTGGGCAGTGATTGTGGGGCAACCACGTGGAGTTGAAATAGGAATGAAATTGGAACACAAGAGGGTGTGGGGCAGATAAATGATGTGGTCTGGCTCTTGTTTTAAAAACATCACTTGAGAGGCCGGCATTGTGGCATAGAGACTAGCATCCCATACAGGAGTGCCAATTTGAGGCCCAGCTGCTCCTCTTCTGAACCAGCCCGCTCCCTGCTAATGCACCTGGAAAAGCAGAGGAAGATGGCCCAAATCCTGGGCCCCTGCCATCTGCATGGGAGACTGGGATGCTGGCTTCTGCCTGTCTCAGCCCTGGCCATTGTGGCCATTTGGGGAGTGAAGCAGTGGATGGAAGCTTGCTTACTCACTCTTTCCTCTCTCTCTAACTTTGCCTTTCAAATAAATCAATCTTAAAAAACAAACAAACAAACTCTGCTATAGGGAAGTCAAGGGCAGAAACTAGGAGACTGTTAGGTTGCTGCATGGTCCCACTTCCCCAGGGCCCTCCTACTCTGTCCCTCTTAACCTTCTCCCTCACCCTGTCCTTAAATGTGCGGGAGAGCCCTGAGGGCTGCTCTTCCTGCCTCTGGCCACTCCTAAGGAAGCCCAGTCTTCTCTTCCTTCATGCCACTATTTGCCCCTAAAGGGCTCTTTTTGCTTAAACAGCCCTGCCGGCTGTTCCTTTGCTGTAGCCCAACATAGCAGGCCTCATTCATACAAGCATGTTTTGCTGCCATCTCTCCTCTATTCCCACAGCTTTGGGCATCTCCTTTATTTCATGTTCCTAGTGTCTACTTGAGGTCTGTTGGCTTGCCCATGAGGACCTGGAGGGCAGAGCCTATATTGTATTCTGCTCTAGGTTCAGCTCTAGAGCCTCACATGTAGAAAGGCCTCAAAAGCTGTGGGTTGTGAATGGCACCTTGCCTTGGCCACCTTGTCATTTTGGGGCACAGTTCTTTGATTTGTTCTTAGACTTGGGCCCTATGTGTTTGCTTGTAGCCTAGAGGTCTGCGGCATGCCAGGGCCTTAGCATGGCCACCCTGTAGTAGGCCTTGAATCAACAGGGAGGTGGAGGTCAGGGTAGCAACAAGACATAGCTGTAGGGGAGAGGCTGGGCCTGGAGTGAGGTTGGGGACTGGGGACCTCAGGGGAGGCTTAGCAAGACCAATCCTCACCCTCCCACCCTACATTCCAGACTTGAAGCTGCACCTGCAGAGCACGGATTATGGCAATTTCCTGGCCAATGAGGCATCACCTCTGACAGTGTCAGTCATTGATGACCGACTCAAGGAGAAGATGGTGGTAGAGTTCCGCCACATGAGAAATCATGCCTACGAGCCGCTTGCCAGCTTCCTGGACTTCATCACGTGAGTGTGCCCTGTAGCACCTGCCTCTCTCACTGGGCAGGAAAGCTACCCCTGAGAAGCTTACAGCAGCTGCCCTTGTGCCTGTCAGCTGTTAGAGCTGATGACAGCTCTGTCAAGCAAGCTGTCTGCAAGCACTGCCCTCAGAGTCCTCCTGGGCTGTATGACTGGGCTGGTTAGCCAACAACCTTGGACTTGCAGGCCACCACCCTGAAACAGGGTCACCAGTGAGTTCACTGCTGGTTGGGGTTGTGGTGTGCAGGGTGTGTGGGTGGTGTGAGAGTATTCTGCATGATAGTGCTAGGTGGAGCCCTTGCCCTATACCCCTAGTGTTACAGAGATTGGGATGGGGAGCCCTCTTTCTCACTTACCTTATGGTAGCCACACTGACCACTGCCTAAGCCCCTACCCCCATGTCTGCATCAAGAATTAGGGGATAGACTGAGTTCTGAAGAACCTGGTTTCTGGGCTGAGGCCCATTCTCCATCTGCTGTCCTGGATCTCAGGGAGATTGGCTGGGGTAGGGGGTGAGAGAGTGCTGAATGCCTAGCTGCCTTTCCCAATTCTGTCCCAAGCCCCCAGAGCTCAGGTGGGCTGGTCCTGGGCTGCCCCAGCTTCTCCATCATGGCCCTTGGGTGCAGCTCTGCCTACCCTAGGCTCCTGGAGAAGCTGAGCAGGAGGACCCTGAGTTCTGCAGGCTGGGAAAGTGTGCCTGCACTGGGCAGTCTGTGTACCAATGGGGATATGGGGAGGCCCTCTCTGCAGGCCTGTCCCAGGAGCTGTGAGCTATGGCTTGGTGGACACAGAAATGGGCCCAGCCAGGTGGCCACCCACGTAGTGACCAGAGGCTTGACCGGTGGCTAGCATCTGAGTGTGTCTGCATCATGGAGAGTGAGGTGGCATGGGGAAGTGTTTCCCTGCACTCTTCTGGAGACATTGTCCAGTCTTCTCTATTCTCTATCATGCCCCCACTCTCCCCTAGCCCACTTGTCCCTCTAGGAACAGAGATAGGTGCCTGCTGCTTGGCCTGATTCCTTCCCCAAGCCAGGAGCAGCCATTTTCTGAAGTAGAGTCTGCATCCAGTTGGCTCCCTCCTCAGGCAGGAGCAACAGGCTGGGACACCCAGAGGGCTCGGGGAACCTGCCCATGCTGAGATGCCGGCCTTTTGGCCTCAGGCTTCCTTCCCCAGGGACCTCCCTACTGACCTAGCCAAGCCCATACTCATACGGCCCTGGTCCCTCTCAAGATACGCCAACATGGGCTTCCTCAGACAGGAGGCGGATTTGGGGTGTATTGTGTGCTGCTTCACCAGGGTCACTCTGCCGCACCTTGTCTTTTAGTCAGCCCCTGACGTGGGCCTGTGCGTCCCCTGCCCTAAGGCCAGAGCCAGGACATACCAGGAAGCAGTCCATTTATTGCTGGAGCCCAACCTTCACCTGCAGTTTGTTTGCACAAGGCTTCTTCAGCTTCCTGGTGCCAGCTAGGCTGGCCAGAGAAAGCCTGACCCCATGCCAGTGGTCAGAGGGTATCTGTCATCCCTCTTGCTCTGCACTAACCCCCTTGCCTGTGCATCTAGCCCCTGGCCTATCTTGGTCTCAGCCTGCCAGGCCATGAAACTGGAGAGGACTCTGAGCGTGACTGAGGCCGAGCAGCCGCCAGCTCTTTGCTGGAGGTTGGCTGCAAGCACCAAGTGTGCTTTAAGCAGCCAAGTGCTATCCTGTGGCAGGCTCTCTGAATCCACAGCTTCCCCGCCCCTTCCATTCATGGGTGACTGTGGCTTACGGTCTTCCTGTCCTCTTACTCCTGCCCTCACTTGGGAAGAGCTCAGCAGCCACGTGTCCGCCCATCTGAGCTGTGGCTGCTCATTCCATGACCCCATCATTCTCAGTGACCCACTCCCCTGCACCTCTGCTCCACTACAGCCACCCCCACTGCCGGCTGCCCAAGGCCATGTCACCACCTGGAACTGCTCCACCTTTGAAATCGCTGAGTCAGGCACCCCCTCTCTACCCACAGCCTTTAGGCCCTCCAACCCATTCTCAGTCCCTTGTGGGACACGGGTTCCGGACTCAGCAGGACACTGGGCCATGCTTCCTCCCCTGCTGCCTCTTCTGTCTTCATTTCCAGCCCTCCCCAGCTGAGGTTCCCTGGTCCATCATTCAAGGACTCTTCTGCCAACATCCGCAGCTCACTTGGCCGCCCGACTCCTGGACCCGCCCGGCTGGCAGCCCCCCAACCCTGGAGGAATCCCAGCAGCCTCCATCCTGTAGTCACCTCCCCCCACCTCCACTCCCGAAAGCAAAGGCTGGGGAAGTTGGCCACTGCAGGGGGATCCTCCCTGCTGCCAGAAGTGCATGCTCACCCATTTGATTAACCTCAGCGTGTCCCTGTCCAGTTGTCCTTCCTTAGTACTGTGCAGCCCCCCAACAAGCTTGGGAAGACCACCTCCCTGTCTAAATGCCTGCCATCCCTGTCCCCAGCCTTTTCTCTGGGCAGATGGCCCACATCCTCCTCCACAGAGACATGGAAGCCAATCTGCCTCCCAGCCCTGCATCTGTACCCCACCCCACCCCCAGCCCCCCAGACCCTGTTCCAATGGCAGAAGCAACCGCCTTGTTTCTTGGATCCTTCTGTGTCCTGAGTCCCCTCCTCCTACTCCCTGGACGCTGAGTGGCCACTCATCTGCAACCCTGTCTGGATAGTCTCTTTCCCTTCCAGATTCTTCCCATCAGCCTGTGAACGAGCTCAAATCTCTCACAGCAATCTCATTAAAAGTCCATCTCCTGGGGCCCACACTTTTACATTCACTTCAAGTTCTCTCACCTGCCCCACATCCCTTGACCTTCCAGTCAGCTTCCAGCAGTCCCCTCACTCTACCCCAAGGCCCTGGCCAACGTGGCCCCACACAGCAGTTTCCCCTCCTGACATCACTGTGTTTTAACCCCTGCCTCACTGGGTGCTCTGCCCTAGCAGTTCCTCCTGGGCCTGAGGAGTGTTGCAGAAAGTGGTGAAACGGTCCGTAGGGGCCCTCCTACAACTGACTTCCCTGAGGAGGGGGCTAATTGGCTAAAGGCAAAGGCGTTTGAGGGAAGAATTGGAGGATGGGGTTTTAGGGAGCTCTACATGTCCTAGTAGCCAAAATGGAGTCCCTTGCTCTGTGTCCTGCACAGCAGCCTCCAGTATGCTGTCCACTCGAAGAAAGTGGATGCTTCCCTGGAAATGCCCAGAGAGGGCTGTGGACATTGTGGCACAGCAGATGAAGCTGCAGTTCACGATGTCCCCAACCCGTATTGGAGTGCCTGGGATCAAGTCCCACATCTGCTTCCAATCCAGCTTCCTGCTATTGTGCACCCTGGGAGACAGCAGATAATGACTCAAATACTTGGGTCCCTGCCACCCATGTGGGAGACCTGGATGAAGTTCCTACCTCTTGGCTTTGGCCTGGGTCAGTCCTGGCTGTTGTGGGCATTTGGGGAGTGTGTACTCTCTCTCTCACTTTCAAATAAATAAGTAAACTTTTTAAAAAAGGCGCAAAGGAGTATACCCAGAAGAGTGCAGTCTTGTGGGTGATGGCCCATCCCAGGTAAAGACTAGAGGCAATAGTGGTATGGCTGCACACAAAGCTGGCCCAGCTAGGGACAGAGGTCAGGACCCCCACAGAGGTCATGTTAGCTCCGTTCCATCTCTCAGAGAACCTTCTTAGTTGCCTTCAGAGTTGGCTCAGGATGGCTGGAATGTACAAGCAGAAGCTGGTCAAGGCTGGCCAGCCTGTGACCACTGCTTGCGCTCAACCAGGCCCAGTGTCAGGAGGAAGATGCTTGCACTTGAAGGGACAATACCCATGGTAGTACAGACAGCACCTGGATGGATTTGTGGGCAGCTTCAGCAAGTGGGTCCAGGACCAGAGGCAGCTTCGCAGTATTGGGAGGACTCCACGGTCAAGTGGGGAGAGAGTGGGTGCAGATGCCTGAACCGGGGCATGTAGCCTGGATACAATAGGTTCCCCAGGAGCAGACAGTTACTGTGTGGTGTTGAGATGCTCCCACTCACTTGTGTGGCACTATCATGTTACTGTGTCACTGTACCAAGGGCTCCTGCCAGGCTCAGCCATTGATTTGCTGGGGGACTTGGAATTGAAGACCTTGGAGAAGACCTTGATGTGGGTCATTCCTTGATGGTTTTCCATAGGAGAGGCAACCCCAGAAGAGAACCAGGGAGAGTTGCTTACAGGAAGAGCCTGATCTCTGGTGAGCCCCAGATAGGCTTCAAAGATACTTGTCCTTGAATGCAGGTGCCTCTGGAGGGAGTCTTACCTACTGTGCAGTACTTGCCTTTCAGTAGCTGCCTATTGATAAAGCCTGAGCATGGGTAACCTCTGGGTGACCCATGGGTAACCCATGGGCACCATGTGGGTGAGCTGAGAGTCCATGTTTCACTTACGTCAGGGGCCTCAGTACCCCCAGCTGGAGTGGACATCTGGAATGTGGCTTTGTCTCAGGACAGTGGCCTCAAGTGTCAACATATTGCATTCTTCCTAGGACATGGTGTCCTAACCTTGGGCCCTGCTGGGTCTCAGGTGTCCCTGGACCACTCCACCCTGAGTCCGCAGTGCTCTCTATCCATCACATGGTTTCTCAGTGGGTGGCTGGTCTCTGTGGGCTGGGGCCCCAGGCCTCTGTGGTTTCTGGGTCCCTATCTGGACCTGGCTCATACCCTGAAGGAGAGCTGGTGCTTACACTGTTCTCCTGGGCCTAAGGGAGAGTGCCCAGGAGTTCCTGCAGACCCAGGGGGCTTAGATCAAGGGGAGGGTCCATCTGGGCCCAGCTCTGCAATGGGCCACACTTCAGGCTGATTGCAGAGAGGAAACTGAGGCTTGAGGGGTCTTATGCTGTTCACTTCTACCCTGAACAGAGCTCTTTAGACCCAGATGTGCTTATTACTAGGAGCTCATGGGAGCTCCTGCTGGGAGCTGCTGGTGGCCAGGGTGGCTCATCAGGGCCAGGCTCACCCCAGGGCTGAAAAGCCTTACTCTTCCAGCAGGTGGCGCCAAAGGGCACAGTAGAGGGCAGGGGTTGGCTGGAGATTCTGAGGGCTTCTTGGAGGAAGTGGCTTCCTAAACTCCATCCAGAGATTTCTGAGGGCCCAAAATGAGTTTTGAAAGCCCAGGGCAAGAGAGGGCCTCTGGGCAGAGAAATACAGACCACCCTGTCCCCACCCCACAAGGGCCTCTTTGGCCTGGCTGGCAGCTGGCCATCCACTCCCCAGCTGTCTTCCTCTGGAGGGAGATGCTGACCAGCTGGAACCTCATTCTCTCCTATCGAGGCCAAATGAGGGGAGGGATTCTGGAGTGGCTTTCTGGGGGCAGGGAGGCAGCTGCTGAAGCCAGGCAAGGAGGAGGATTTCCCTGCCTGCTGATGGCCCTAGCCTTGGGAGAAAGGCACGCAACACAGCTGGGCCATCATCAACTCTGCCAAGCCTGTGTCCCTGAGGGGAGGATTCTGACCCTCAGTGGTAGGGGAGAGAAGCACAGGACACTGCTGCAGCAGCCTCATCACCCAGGGGAGGGAGGTGCTAAGCCTGGTACTGGGTCATTCAGGGTTGGCCCAGCCTGGGTTAGCAGGGCCTTGAGGGGGCTGGGTTGGCGTGATGTGAGTGGCCCTTAGTTGGTTCAGCATTTTCCTTGGTGCACAGCTAGGACTCCCAGCAAGAGAGGCTGTGGGGAGCCATGGCGTGCTACCACTGGCCTGCACATCTGTCAGGGCTGAGAAGTGAATCACAGCTAGCCTGCTCCACATCACTGGAGGGACAGCGGCTAAGGCAGCCAACAGTATCTTCCCACAGGGCTCTCCCCCAAGGCTGGGCTAGGACCCGGAGGAGTGCCAAGGCCCCTCCCTGACCCCAGTCCTATCCCCAACACAAACAGCTTTAGTTGTGGGCACAAGGAGGGGGAGACTTGAGAAGAGGAGAGTGTCTTAGGGGAATTCCTCTGAAAAGGCGAGACCAGATGGGGATTGCAGAGCTGGACGTGGGGCCCTGGACATGGGGGGGGGGGTGTGGATAAGTAGCTGTGGGGACACGGAGCTCCTCTGCCTTATGGTGTGACAGGGTCTGGTGCTCATCCTCTCAGGGCCTTATCTGTTCTGACAGTGGGCTGGTGACGCTAGTGGCTCTGGGATCACTTGGATGATGCAGGTCAAAGGGTGTGCTATTCTCCCTCTCCCCATCTGGAGGGTGTGAGAATGTGAAAGAACATCTGTAGGCTCCGGAGCAGAGTCTTTGTGGTCGTCAAAGATAGTGTGATGGCTGCAGAGAGACTGGATAGCACACAGGTGGGATTTTGGAGGTGCCAGATGCAGAATGGGCCCTGGGCTCTGTGACATGCTGGACATGGAGGGGGCAGGAGGCATGTGCTGTCCAGAATAGACAGAATGCAGGCTGTGGCTGGAGACCTAGGCACAGAGCCCTGTCTGGCAGCCTCTCTCTGAGTTTCCTTCATTCTGCTAGCTCTGTGGGGTCAGGGGCAGAAGGCTGGCCATATGGGCCTCTTGGCTTGCAGCTGCAAATGAACCCTGCATGAGGTTTGGGAAGAGGGGCCTGTCTCTTCTCAGTGCACATCTTGTAGCTGACCCAGCCAGACAGGGTGGAGAGAGGGCAGCTCTCTGGCCTCAGGCCCAGGAGAGCAGAGGTCATAGCAAAGCGCCAGGCCGGGTTGGAGCTGGGGGAGTGTGCAGCAAGCCGGGGGGGGGGGGGGGTCAGGCTAGGACAGGAGCTGGGGCCTCTCCTTCCTGCTGCCTTTCTGGAGGGCCTGGTGGGAGTGTCCCTAATGGCTGGCCCTCAGGCCCTGGGGCACCACCTCACTCTCTTCCCTTGTTACTAGAGACCACCTCCTACCAGCACCTTTCCTGGACAGCCTCAGCACTGGGTGCTCAAGATCTTGTCACATGTCAGAGGCCCAACTCTGGCTCACTCAGAAATTAGAATGGTATCTGTGCCTGGTACCCAACTCAGAGCAGCAGCTTCCACCCCTGCTCCCCCTTCTGTGGGCCCCTCATGCCCTCCCTCCCTCCAGCCTTGGTGGACATTCCCTCCAGTCCTCCCCTGGCTCCCTGGCTCCCTCGTCACTGGTGATAGGCTTGGGACAGTTGAGACAACTGCGGTCTGACAGTGGCCTGGGGCCACCTCCCCTTCTTCATCTGTCTCTACATGGGTGACCACACAGAACTCTGACACAACCCTTTTGTGACACAGGTTCTGGCAGAGCCTTGTCCTTTGCCCAGTCTGAACTAGGCAGCCCCAGCTCCACAGCCCCCTCTGCTGCCCATGTACCTTCCAGAGCTGGCCTTCTGCGGAGCAGGGCTGGGAGCCTCAGCCTGAGCCCGACCTCAGCCCCTCCTATCCATCTAGGTCTCTGGGTCCTGGGTGGCTGCCTGGCCTGGCCTCAGGCTCTAAGGAAAGAGGGCGGTTCTCTCTTAGAAGCAGGGCTGTGCAGGTCTGCCAGGCCCGGGTCCTTACTCTAGGGGGGCTTCCCACTGACTCCCCTTGAGAAACTTCTCCACCCAAGCCCTCAGCCTTCCCTCTCCCCATGCTCCTCTGTCCCCACCTAACTGGCCTACAGTCTCCCCTGCTTACATCCTGTCCATGGGTCCCTAGTGTTCAACCTAGGTCGGCATCCTCAGCCAGGCCTGTGCTCAGCCTTCGGGCCTCTGCCTGCTGGCAGCACTGCCATGCCTGGGCTGTGCCCTTCCTCTCCTCCTGCCAGCGCTGAGCAGGTTCCATTCCTTGAATGTGCCCACTACTCAGTGTGTGCCTCCAGGCCTTTGCACACACTGTTCCTTCTTGCAGAACACACTTTGGTCTCCCAGTCCCTTTATCTTTCAGGCTCCCGGCCACACCTACCCCCAGGCTGAGCTGCTACCTCCTCTCTATATGCCCACAGTCCCCTGGTCCTGTAAAAACATTGCACAGGGTCGGCACCGTGGTGCACTAGGTTAATCCTCTGCCTGCGGCGTCGGCATTCCATATAGGCATATTCTAGTCCTGGTTCCTCCTCTTCCAGTCCAGCTCTCTGCTGTGGCCTGGGAAAGCAGTAGAATATGGCCCAAGTGCTTGGGCCCCTGCACCCACATGGGAGACCAGGGAGAAGCTCCTGGCTCCTGGCGTCAGATCAGCGCAGCTCCAGCCGTTGTGGCCATTTGGGGAGTGAACCAACGGAAGGAAGACCTTTCTCTCTGTCTCTCTCTCTCACTGTCTGTAACTCTACCTGTCAAATAAATAAATAAAATCTTAAAAAAAAAAAAAAAACACATTTCACACTGTAGGGTGGTTACTGCTGTCCAGTCTCTTGGGATGCATGACCCTCTCCTGCCCCTGCCCCCAGGGGAGAGGCCATTTCTGTCCTGTGCTCCTGGTGCAGTGATGGAGGTGGGGGTGGTTAGGAACTTGAGAGGAACTTGGCTGAGAGGTGAGCCGGTGGCGCCCATCCACAGTTGCTGTTGAGTCAACACAGTGTTAAGGGGTTGGTGGCCTGTTCAGGGTGAGGGCAGTGGCGCGGGCTGTGCCAGGACTTCCCAGCCCCCATGCTGACGGGCTACCCTGCTGTTGCCTGCCTCCTATAGTTACAGCTACATGATTGACAACGTGATCCTGCTCATCACGGGCACGCTGCACCAGCGCTCCATCGCCGAGCTCGTGCCCAAGTGTCACCCGCTAGGCAGCTTTGAGCAGATGGAGGCCGTGAACATCGCACAGACCCCCGCCGAGCTCTACAATGCCATTCTGGTGGACACACCCCTGGGTGAGCCGCTGGGGTGGAAGCAGAACAGGGATGGTGGTGTCCATGACAGCACCTGAGTGTGGGGTGTGTGGCCACCCAGAAGGTGACAAGACTTGTCTGCTGGCGGAGACTCTGGTCTTCCCCTCCTCTTCTACCATTCTCTCCCCCTCTCCCCCTCCCATCCCCTGTGCACGGCTTCTTCACCTTTCCTCTTGCCTTTGCTAGGCCAGCAAGCCACTCACAGGGCCTAACCAGACCATCTAACTTTGTGGAGCAGTCTGGTTCTCAGTGTGCAGTGGGGCTGAACTCATGGAGAATAAAGAAGCCTGGGTCCTTGGAGTCCTGCGGCCTCACAGACTGTGGCCCCAAACTGGAGCCTCAGTAGGGCCGCAGTGGCTACCCGTGACAGCGAGGAGGGAAGCAAATAGCTTCATGGACCTCCACTGAGCAGGGCCCAGGGGCCACAGCAGACAGCACTCTGTAGGATGCAAGGTTCATGTCAGAGGCTGAGTAAAGGAGGGAATCGGCAACTTCTGCAGGGCCTCGCCTCGGCACTACTGGCTCCTGCCTGCCTAGAAGGCTGAAGAGAAGACATTAAGGCCATGAAAGGTAGTACTGCCGTCACCAGAGTTCCAGGCCCCAGGATGCCACCTCCAGGAAGCTACCAAGGTTGAACCACAGGGCTGTAAAGCTACAAGTCCTGTGTGAAAGGCCTGAGTCCTACCTGTTCATCTTGTCTTCTGTAGACTCTCCCAGTAACTGAGCTAGTTCTGAGCTCTTGTAGCTTCTGCAGTTTTCATCTTTTTTAAAGAGACAGTCCAGTGAATTTGCAGACCCTCCTGATGAATGGGGGTGCTCTTTCCTGCTCTGGCCTCTCCTTCCAGCCCCGAGGTGGGCCCCTAGGGTCTATACCCACCCAGCTGTTAAACTCATTCCTTGCCAGAGAAGGAGGCTGATTTTCCAAGTATGGGTGCCAGGCCTTCCTGGGAGATGCAGAAAAGTGAGCACCAGGCCCCAGATCTACAGCTGCCCCTGGAGAAGGGAGAATGTCACGGCCTCTTATGCAAGCCTGTCTTTGGCATGGTCTGAGCTTGGGTCTGCCCCAGCGGCGATTAGATCATGTTATGGCTGGCCGCCTCCTTTATAAATCAATTTTAGGAGCAAGGAGGCAGGAGAAAGCTCAGGTCAGTGTGCATGGCCCAGAGTATCGCCTCTGCCACTTCCAAGGCAATAGCTCAGACCAAGTTGGGGGTCCCCCGATACCCAGCCGCAGGGCCCCTCCTTACCCAGCAGGGCTCTTGCCCAAGCCACTCGCCCCACGTGCCTCTCATGCCTGCGCCTTCCCTTCCCAGCGGCTTTCTTCCAGGACTGCATCTCAGAGCAGGACCTTGATGAAATGAACATCGAGATCATCCGCAACACACTGTACAAGGTAGTGGCCTGCACCAGCGGGGGTGGGGTGGGGGGAAGGGGTGGTTCTTTGTGGGCATGGTTGTTGGAGGCTGTGGGATGCCAGAGAGTGGTGATTGACTGTGAGGTGCTAGGACAGGACACAGTTGCACCAGGTGCCTGTCCTGGGGGCTTATCCACTCTCTGAACCCGTGATGGGTACAAGGCTGCGTGGAACAGGTTCTCCATCCCATGGTGCCTGCGGCAGGCTCAGATAAGATCAGCAGGAGTGGCTGGTGCTCCACTGCCTGGCCTGTCAGAGCTGGCTCCTGGATGGCCACTCCCCCAGCATCCAGGAGGGTCACGGGCCACCACCCAGGCCATAGCCCTTGGGCCTTCCTCTCCTGGGCTATTGCCAGCAAGGACAAAGCACTTCAGCAAAGGCAACAGTGTGCTCAGTTATGGTGGGGGCAGGGACCCAGCCAGGCATATCCAGGTCCTCATGTCCCTTTCAGGTTCCCACCTACCTTCTGCTTCCCACTGGATTGTGGATAGACTGGCTGACTCCTGGGGATAGAGGGTGTGGTTGGTATTCTAGGGTCTGCATTGCCCTGATCCTAAGAGATTAAGAGCCAGCAACCACTTGGGGACATGTGGGACAGACTGGGCTCTGGTTGTGGTGAGGTTCTAAGCTGTGGTGTCCTTACTGCTGATGGGCTGTGCTCGGAAGCATGGATCAGCCTTGGGAAGGCCCTGAAGGGGGTTTGAGGATGGCAGGGGCCCGGGGACCTGCTGACCGAACCCTGAGAGCATGTCAGTCAGTCTTTGCATTGAGCCCCTTTCCTGGTGGGGGTGGAGCTGGCTGCCTGATGTTTGTCCGTAACCTACGCCTGGGACCCCACAGTCTCCCTGTGGGGGCCTGAGCCAGACCACAATGAGGGTCTGGTGGTAGGGGAAGGAAAGGCCTGCCTGGAGATGCACAGTATTGGCAGTGAGCAGCCTGGGCCAAGCGCTCTGCTGTGAAGTTCCAGGTGGCAGTTAGGAGAGAGATCTGGAAGAAGAGGCAGCAAAGGATCAAGTCATCCAGGGCCTTGAATGTTAAGCCAAAAGTTTGATCTTTATTCTGTGGACAAGGTCAGCAGCAGAGGTTTTCGGCAGAGCAGAGAGTGTGCTCAGAAAGCCCTCTGCGGCTGCAGTGTGGAGGACAGATGAGAGGCTGGTGGTAAGAAGGTCACCCACTCCTTTCATCCTCGGGACTGCCCTTGGAGCACAGGTGGCAGAAATGGAGGCCTTACAGAAGGGGGCTGGTTGCCTTAAGCCACACAGTAAGTCACTGGCAGCGCTAGGGATCACACATGGCTCAGCCTGCTTGCAAAAGCGAGTGTTCTCACCCACCCCGCTTCTAGGGAGGCCAGCCAGCCAGTCAGCCGAGCATGTGCGCGTACACACACTCCCGGTACTCTTGCCTGCCCAGCTGGCCCGTTGCCGGGTTCCCTGCCCTGAGACAGGGTGAGGGGTGCGGCTGTCCCCCCAGCCTCACCCACGCCCTTACCGGGCCCGACTGGTTCTAGCTGGAGTCGCTGGCGAGGGCTGCCCAGGCACCAGCTCATAAACACCAAGCCAATATTATGGGCCCTGTGCCAGGACCTCCTGCCCAATGGGCGATGTCCCAGCCCAGTGGCCACAGATGGGAGATTAGGCAGACCCTCAGCTGCCTGGCGGGTGGGAACTGTAGGCAGCTGGTGCAGCGGCTGTGGGCTGGCAGACTCCAGGGAACGGGGCGGGGAGATGACCTTGGTACCTGGGCCTCTAGGGTCGTGCCCATAACTTTAGCTGCCCTAGCCTCCAGGGGAGCATCTGGGCCTATCCCACCAGCCTCTCTGACCCAAGGGGTGGCCTCTTCAGGGGCTGGGGCACATGGCTAAGCAAATGGGTGGGTAGCAGGGCATGGAGCCCAAGATGTAGCTGGTGGTTTCCCCCACAGATACAAACTATAGCCCCCCTGGGGCGGGGCTTGGCTGGCCACAGGGAATGGAGTGACTGGGAGATTCCTAGAGGGACTGGGAAGCACCACCAAACAAGGTTGGCAGCTGTCTCTGCCCCCACCCCCACCCCCCAGGACTTTCTGATTCCCAGGGATTCCTCGGTGTTGGGCTCCACTCTCCCCATGCAGGCTTTTTATTTCCTGACTTATCTTAGACTTTTGTTTTGTGTGACTGTAGTGGTCAACCTCAGACCTTCCCCTGAGCTTGCCTAGTGTTGCTGGCCAGGCTCAACCTGGGCTCCTGGACTTTGAGGTCTCATCTGGTAGTAGCAGAACCTGTGGGCCCCTGTCAGCCAGGGGTTGTGGAAAGAACACACCATAGCTTCCACTTGGGATGCCTGCCTCCTGTATCACAGTGCCTGGAATCGAGTCCTACCTCCACTTCCTATCCAGCTTCTAGTTCACCTTGGGGGCTCTGAGTGCAAGGGGCTCCCCATGGGGCCTGCAAGACCATCTTTGACGTGGACAGGCGTGGGGAAGGGAGCCTGGCTGGTTTTGTTAGCGAATGTTGGGAGGGACCTGGGGCCTGGGCTGTCCTGTCCTTTTCTCACACCCAGCAGATCCAATTTGCCTGGGCAGGAAGTACTTGTTCCCACTGGCTGCCTGCGTGCCCCTCCATAGCACTGGGAGGCTGACGTGGAGTAGGCAATAACCATCCCTCAGGAGGAACTGGCCTGACAATTTGGTTTCTGCTGTGTCATGCCTGGGGGCTGCCTAGGGGGTGGGAGGACATGTTCCATCAGGTAGGATATAGCCAGGGGCCAGGGGAATTCAGTCCAAGCTGTCTCTGTGAACTCTGAGGAGTAACCTTCCCTCACTAGCCCATGAGCACCTGATTTTCTATGGCTGAGGGAGGAAGGCTTGGAAGGTTGTAGGGAGAAAGTAGATCAGAAAGGGGAACGTAGAGGTCCCTCTGAGCCTGGTGTTCTGTGGGGTGAGGGGTAGGGTCACTGTACCCTGAAGCAAACAATCAGTAGGCTGGAAACGGGTCTGTCCCTGCGGGGTGGGAGACTGTAGGCTGCTGCTGCTTGGTTGGCCAATGGTTGGAATCAGTGGATGTTTCAGGGGCTCTGGCCGGCAGGGCTGCCTTGGCCAGTCCCTTCCATGAAAGGGGCTGGGAAGGGGAGGAAGGAAGTGAGCAGTTGGCTGGACAGACCCCCCCACCCCCCCGGTCCGGGTGTTCTACCTTCCCTAAGCAAGCCCCCTGCTCTGCACATCTACACAGGCCTATCTGGAGTCCTTCTACAAGTTCTGCACCCTGCTGGGTGGGACCACAGCTGATGCCATGTGCCCCATCCTGGAGGTGAGTGCCTGCCTACCCTCCTGTTTGCTAGTCGCCACTGGCCCTGGCATGGAGGGAAAACCCTGCCAACCTCTTCCCCTCTCCTCCCTGTCTCCTTGCCTGTGCACGGGCCCCACAGTTTGAAGCAGATCGCCGCGCCTTCATCATCACCATCAACTCCTTTGGCACGGAGCTGTCCAAGGAAGACCGAGCCAAGCTGTTCCCGCACTGCGGGCGGCTCTACCCTGAGGGCCTGGCCCAGCTGGCTCGGGCTGATGACTATGAGCAGGTCAAGAACGTGGCCGATTACTACCCAGTAAGTGCCCTGGCTGGCGGGATGATGGGTGGGCCTGTGAGCCACACCCTTCTGCTCACCCACTGCTTTCCCTGCCAGGAGTACAAGCTGCTCTTCGAGGGTGCAGGCAGCAACCCTGGAGACAAGACCCTAGAGGACCGATTCTTCGAGCATGAGGTGAGTACAGGGCTCTTGCATGGCCAGCCCGTCATAGGGAGGATTTGATGGCTTTAAGTCTGACTGTTACCATGTCACCTGTATAGCTCACCCGCCTCTGTCCACAGGTGAAGCTGAATAAGTTGGCCTTCCTGAACCAGTTCCACTTTGGTGTCTTCTATGCCTTTGTGAAGCTCAAGGAGCAAGAGTGTCGTAACATTGTGTGGATTGCTGAGTGTATTGCCCAGCGCCACCGCGCCAAGATCGACAACTACATCCCCATCTTCTAGCATCCTGACCCAGGGCTCCCCAGCACGCTGTGTGTGTCTGTGTGTGCTGTGACAAAGCCTGGGGCTTCCCCGCTGGCCCTAGGGGATAGCACATTGTCCTGGGGGCTGCCCAGCTCCCCTGACACTCCTTTGAGACTGCTCTTAGGCCTGGAAAGGGGCTGGGTACCTCATTCCCCAACCAAGGGTGGACCAAGACCCCTCTTGAGCAGAGGACCCTTTGGCCCTGTGTTTACAGCTGCTACATGTCTGAGAATCATGTGGTCACTTCCGTGTCCCTCCCTAACCTGAGAATCTGGGCATGTGTGAGCCTCCTTGCCCCTCTGTGGGTTACTCCCAGCACTATGGCCCATGGGAAGGGTAGTATGTGTGTGTCCTTAGGGCGTGGGTAGGCAGCTCTGCCCCTCTGAGACAATAAAACTGCCCCGTGTAACCCTGCTGTCGGCTTTCTCCTTTGGACCCTGGTACTTCTCCCTCAACTTCCCTCCTGACCCCACCTTTGTTGAGTCCACCACAGCCTAAGCTTTCTACTGCCTCCCTCAGTTGGTTCCAGGTGGGGGCATCAGGGGAGGAGAGCCCCTTCCTCAGATGCAGAGACAGACCCTGTGAGCTGGGTCCTGGCCTCGGAGAGAGGCCTCTCCAGTGTCTTCGTTTGATCTTATCTTGTGATCAGGGTCACTACCCCTACTTCACTGTGAGGAAACCCAGGCCTATGGATGAATGATTTGCCCAAGGTCACCAGGGGTCAGGGAGTTGGGAACCAGAGTCTACCACGGGAGCCCAGCCAGGCCCAGAGCCTCAGGCCCGCCTCATGGAGCCCCATGAACTCCAGGCAGTTTCCAGCCTCTGTCCCACAGCCACACCTCGTCAGCCAGGCCACCAAGTGGTCATCCTTTCCAAACACAACATCAACCTCATTCTAGGAGAAATAAAAGTTGTCTTTATTTAAAAAGTAGCCATTGGGCAAGTAGGGTATGCAGCTTCCCTGTGATTTGGGGGCAGGTGGTTGGGGCCCTAATTCTTGAGCCAGTCAAGAGACAATTGGGGTTTACCCTTCAGTTGCAGCCCTGAGGCACTGGTGCCCAGAAACAATCCTGAGAGGGTCCCCAACCTACCCAGTCACCCCTTAGTTTGCAGAGACGCCAGTTGGCAGTGACCTGCCAAAGGCTCCAGTGAAGTCATGCACTACACTCCCCATCCAACAGGATTCTTCAGGCTGTAGTGGGGAGTGTTGTGCCCAAGACAATCTGTGCAGGCTCATGAAGCAGTATGGGGGCCCAGAGGCTCCCTGGGAAACTCAGCCTCTCTGGGCCTGAACCAGGCATCAGCAGTTGGGGGCTGGGGTTCTTTAGAACAGCTCCAGGGAGTCATAATACCCAGGGGAGGGCCAAGGGCAAGGGCTCATGGAGCCTCCCGAGCTGGAGCAGCTAGGCCCTGTGTGTGCAGCTCATCGAGCTCCCACTAGGGAAGGGTCGGGGTTGGGGTTGGGGTTGTCCTGGGCCGTGTCTGGGGCAGGGGTAGCGCCAGGCTGGCCAGGCCTCAGTGCACGAGGCAGGCAGGGATTGATGAAGAAGCTCTGCAGGAAGCGGCGCCGCAGGCCCTCTGGCAGGTAGTAGTGGATGAAGTACATGAGCCCCAGGCCACGGCCTGGGTAATAGCGGCGGCGTGGCCGAGCTGCCAGCAGCGCATCGGTGATGGCATCCACAACTGGGCTGAGGTCAGGCAGTGCCAGGCGGAGCGAGTGCAGGAACTCCCTGTGCAAGTGCTCAATGTAGTCCTCGCCGTAGGCCTGGCGCAGCTCCCCGGGCAGGTTGGCCAGCAGCAGTTGCTTCCGTTGCTCCCAGTGGCTCACATTGCTCACGGATTCTGGGAAAGCGGTGGCAAAATCAGAGCGTCTTCAGCTAGGACAGCCAGAGCTTACCCTGTGTACTTAACCCAGGCCATTCTCCAGCCAAAGCCATGCCCACTCCCGGACCTGACCCCACCGCCGTAAGATCATGTTTATCTCTGGTTTGTTCCCTGTCCTCACCCTTACCTGTCTTGAAGCAGCCAGGCTGGATGACGCTGACCTTGACTCCCCAGGGAAGGAGTTCACAGCTGAATGCGTCCATTAGCAGCGCCATGGCTGCCTTGGAGGTCCCATAGGCTGCCAAGCATGGATAGGGCATGTCTCCTGTGGATGGATTAGTGGATGGGGCAGCTCAGCCTTGGCCAGGGGCTCTCTGAATCCCCCCCACCCCCACCCTACGGCCGCTTTTTTTCTGCTTCCAGAGAAGAAGGGCACTCACCCGCAGGGCTGCCCAGGGTGACAATGCGACCCCTTGAGCGGCGTAGCAGCGGCAGGAGGCCCTTGGTCAGCTCAAGGGCACCAAAGAAGTTCACCTCCATGCAGTTGCGGAACGTGGCGACAGGAGACAGCTCCACATCGGCCACTACATCGTTGTGACCTGCGTTGTTGACCAGGCCCCACAGACCTGAGGGCACAGAGCCAGGCAGGGAGACCTCAGGTCAACCACAGCCCCTCTTCCACCTGCCCCCTCTCTGTATGGAGCTGCACTCACCCGTGCTGGTGGTGTGGGCCTTGGTGAACTCCAGTGCCCGGCTAATGTCTGCTGGCTTGGTCAGGTCCATCTGGAGCAGCTTCAAGCGAGGTGAACAGCAGGCACGCAGCTCTAGGGCACCAGGCCCATTCATCTCCAACACAGTGGCCAGCACCGTGAAGCCCATGGCATCCAATTTCTTGGCTGTCTCCTTGCCAAACCCGGAGTCACAGCCTGGCCAGAGCAGGGGAGCCATTGAATTCTCAGTGTGATCCAGTCCAGCCCGAGATAACCCCAGGACCACCAGGGTCTGGATGTAGTCCATGTGCCTGAACACCTCACCTGCCAGCAGTCAGCTGCTCTCCCTCCTCCCTTATACCTATCTCTGGCAGGCTGAGCCCTGAGCACCAGCCCCATGAGGGCTATCACCTCTGACTCCTCGTAGCTCTACAATCAAACATAGTTTGTGAGCCCCACTGTTTAGAAGAGGAAATTTAAGACCTAGTAATGCTTCCCAAAGTCACCCAGTTAGCACTGAGTACGTAAGGCCAGCACTGGCTCCAAGGTCAGCCTGCGATCAGTCCTGGCCCTGACGGCCTTCTGCTTCTCAGCAGTAGGCCACAGCTCACATGTGGGTCTTAACTTCACAGCCCCCCTTCCTTTCTGGCTGCCCTCATCCAGGCTTCTCTTTCCTGTATCTGAACACTAAAGCAGCCCCTTCTAGTCTTGTCCTGGCTTGCCCCCTTGAATCCATTCTCTACCTAACCAGCCAGAGAGATCTTTCCAAAAATGACAAGATCACTCTGCTGCTGAAAACCTTGCCAAGGCTCAGTGCAGCCCAAGCTCTCGGATGCTATCACTCAGGCCTTGCATGGAGACCCGCCTTCCTTCCCAGCCTCAGCACCCCTGACTGTGGTTCCAGGCCCTAGGCAAGCTGGAGGCCATTCCCACCTCACCTTTGACCCCTCTGCCTTTGGAATGCCTGGGTATTTTCCAAGCTCCAGACTATTTGCTCCCAGGACAGGGACTATGATGGATGGAGAACAGAACAGACCTGCATTTAAATCCCTTCTCACACCCACCAAGTCAGACCGTGAGGTCAGTTACCACTTTTGCAGAGTTGATTTCCTGTCTTTGGTATGCAGAGAGAACCACCAGGCAGAGCCGGTGCAGGGGTCCCTGGTACTGGTAAGCCCCTGCTTCCTTGATGGTTTCCATTCCCATCCTGGCTTGGTGGGTGGCCAGTGAGGGGAGCCCAGTGGTCCTACTGATTCCCCACCTCCAGATGTTCAGCACCTCCCCCATCTCAGTTTCACCCTCTCTGATGAGGATGAGAACAATGCTAGGCAGGGGGCTACGGGATGGGCTTTGTGTGACTGAGGGTGCCAGCCCAGGCTGAGGGGTGCTTCCCAAAAGTCTGCCTGGCAGAGGGGAGTAAGCATGTGTGTGTGCACGTGTGCGTGCCTTTGCCCCCCCCCCCCCAGAGCAGACCCTCCACAGGGAAAAGAAGGTCTCCCAGAGGCTCAGCCCCATGCTCTCGCCCATCTGCACACACTCATACCTGTAGCTACATGCAACCTGCCTGGATGTGTGACCCCTGCCACGCGTCAGTGCACAAGCACCCAGCCCTTGCCCAGACCCCACGGCCGCACTCCACAGTAGCTCTGGTGAGCAGTTCCCAGGGAGGGGTGCGTGGAGGCTCAGGGCACAGCTGTCTTGGCAGGTGGGGCAGGGCCTGGTCACCCACTTGTCTTGCAGCTCGTGGGGAGAGAGGAAATCCCGGAGTGTTCAGGCAACTGGGAAACTTGGAGGCTCACCCCTGGCCCAGAACTTTGCAACCAGAGCTGGAGAAGCCCGGAGTCACAGAAAGCATCTCTCCTCTCACCTCGCCCTCAGGCGCAAGGCAGGGAGCAGCAGCAGCACAAAGGCCCGAGGTAAGATCTCAGGAAAAACTCAGCGGGGCCACTGTGCCTGCAGATGGCCTGGGTACTACTGAGGCAGCTCACACAGTCAAACGATCTTCCCTGGCCCTGAGGGCAAAGCCTGCAACCTACCTAGTCCCTGTTCACAGCAGGAGAGTCTCAAACCTGAGACTGGGGTCCCTGAGGCTTCACACTGAGCCCCAGACTTGCCTATGTCTGGTCTTCCTGCCATCCTCACGCCCCCTCAACCCCACCTCAACACATTCTGGCTTCTTACTGACATTCATGTCTGCTCCCAAGGAAACAGCCCCACAGCCCAGCACACCCCTGCAGCTGGCTGTTTGCCTACCTGTCCCCTACCTGGTCATGCTTATGCCCCACCTTAAGCTTCTACTCGCTATCCTTTCTCTGATCCAAGACGCCTTGAACCTTCTCCCCATCTCCACGCTGAGGCCGGACTCCAGGATTTCCTCCTCTGGGAAGTTTGCAGCCCCTTCTGGTCGTTCAGGGCCCCCTACTGGACCAAGGGCTCTAAGGAGCCAGTCTGCAGGCTGTTCCTCAGCCCAGGCACAAAGCAAGGGGCTAAGAGCAGAGCACCTGTCCAAAGCCATGGGGGCTGGGAGAGAGAGACTAGGCCGCCCCTCCCCCACCCCATGCAATGCAGCCAGTGCCCCCTGGCCTTTCTCCCCCTCCCCACTTCCGGCTGGGCCTTAGCCCCCCTTCCCCTTCCCCTTCCCTCCTGGTGACAGATTTATTCCCTGCTCCAGACAAAGGGAGCTCAGCCAGGCGCGGGAGGCACCTGAGCCCAGCTCTCCAGTACCTCTTTCCTAGGCACTGAAGACCCGGAGGGATGGAGGTGGGGTGCTGGGCGCTGGGTGCACTCCGGACTGCTCCCTCTGTGCTCTGGTGGGGGTAGGGAGGCTGGCTGGACCGGAGAGGCAGCTGAATGGCCGGCTCACCTCCTGGTGACC